ATTACGTAAGCAATTAGATTTACTAGGAATTTTTCTAATTTGTTAAGAAATTACAATAAGTGCAATCTTAACAAAGCTTAATAATAATAAAAAGATAATAATAACTAAGTTATTATAATCTTTACACTTATTGCAATCTTTATTAGTTATACTATTTATTATAGTATTTAACTACTTTGTTCTAATAAAGCTATATTCTATTATTAGAGAATAGTTCTTGTTACTTATCTATTCTTTACAAATACTAGTATATAACTTATAGCTAAAAGTACTAACTAAAGTAATAGAAAAAGAATAATAAGCTATATACTATATAAATAGAATTAATAGTAAGAAATAAAAAAAAGTAGAGTATAAAATAAATCTAAATAAATTATAAAATAAACTAAGTACTCTAAGCTTTTTAAAAATCTAGCTATAGTATTAAGTAATATAGTTACTTTATTAAGATTTAGAAAGCTTCTTAGTATATACTAGAGAGATAGAGAAGCTTTTTTTAATAAATTTTAGAAAGAAAAGCTTTAAAAAACTATACTACTTTAAGTATAAAAACTAAGATTATTATTAGTAAAAGTAATAAAGTATATATTCTAAGTAAAAAGAGTTAAGTACTATAAAAAGAAGTAATATTATAGAAGTAAAAGAATAAAAAGAATAAAAAAGTAGAAACTTAATTAATATCTAAAAGTAAAAAGTATTATTATAGAATAAAGCTCTAGAGAAAGAATTAATCTAAAGTTAAAGAACTAATATATAAACTAAAGTTTATTAATAAATAAATCTAAATATACTAATAGTAATAATATTTTAATTACTAGACTAATTAATAAAAGCGTCTATACTTTACATAAGAATATTAAAACTTATAGCTTATTATATACTATATAAGCTTTACTCTTTCTTTAAAGTAGACTATTAGTATATATAAAGTAGTTATAATACTACTTCTTAAAGTTACTACTTCTATATAAATAAGTATTCTAAGGTATTATTATAATATACTTAAACGTATAAATAATATTCTAAAGAAACTAGATAGAAAAAATTAAGTAGAAAGTAATTATATAAAGCTAAATAATAGATATATTAGGTAAAGTCTTAAAAGTTAAAGGCTATATAGAAGTTAGTAGAAAAAGCTAAAAAGAGTAGACTAAAATTCTAGTAAAGAGAATATAAGCTATATATTTTTTTTATATAAAGTCTAAATTATATTTTTAATAAATATAAGTTTAGTAAGAAATACTTTAGTTATAATTAAAATACGCGTTATTAATATAGCTATACTTAGATCTTTTAAGATAATCTTTAAAAGCTTTAATATAAAGAAAGTAAAGAGAATTTTAAACTACTTAAGCTATAATATATACTCTAAAAGTATTATTATAAACTAGCTAATAGTACTAACTAATACTATTCTTATAATTATAAAGTATATTTAAAGGTTAGCTAGAATTAAAAAAAAAGTAAAATAAAACAAAAGTTTATAGCTATATATTAGAGGCGTATTTTCTTATACTAGCTATAAGTTTTTAATCTATTATTATTAAAGATATAAATAGTATTATTACTATTTTTTCTAAGAAGTAGAATATAGTAGAAGTAGATCTTAGAGCTTATAAGATTCTTACTATTATTTATTATATAGCTCTTAAAGTTAAGTAGCTTTAGCTTATTAATAAAAAACTAAGTATACTAATACTTAGCTAACTTAGTAAACTATTATCTAAGTTAGTAAGATAAGTAAAGAAATAAGAAAATAGTAGAAAAACTTACTAATAAGCTAAAAGAGATATAACTTATCTTACTAAAAGTATAGATTCTACTATAGGTAGTAAAAGTAAAGAAGGTTTTAATATTTAAAGCTATATTATAAGTAATTAAGTATTAAAAAAAGTAGTAAAGTTTTAAAGATAGGTATAGAAATTCTTTAAAATTTTTACTAGATATTTATATAATAATAATAAAAAGTAGATAAAATAAGTAGATTACTATTATAGTATAGCTTACTTAATTTCTTCTAGCTAAAACGCTAGCTTATAAAACTTAAATAAAAGATTTTCTAGTATCTATACTTAAAATATTATATAAGTATAAACTATATAGCTATATAATATTAAGCTTAGAAGTAAAAATAGCTAATAAAATAAACTATACTTAAAAAGAGTTTTAGCTTAGTTTAAAAATATCTTTTAAAGTATATAGCTACTTAGAAAGTTTTCTTTTCTAAGCTATTAAATTTATCTAATATTCTTTATTACTTACTTTTAGAGTTAGTCTCTTATATATATATTCTTAGTTAGTATCTTAAGTCTAATTTAGTATTATTTTTATAGTAAAATAATATTAAAAGATATAAAGAGATATTAAAAGATATTAAAAGACTTTAAGTTAGTCTCTTTTAGAACTACTAAATAGTTTTTATATTAGTTAAGTATATATTACTATAGTAGTATAGTTATTTTAGTATTAACTTATTCTATACTTATCTATATAACTTTCTTTATACTATAACTAGAGAAAACTAGAAATAATATAATATATAGTAATAGAGATACTACTAATAGAACTTACTATATCTATTCTCTATTAACTATAAGTATATTTCTATTTTATAGACCTTTTTTAAGGTAACTATAATACGTAAATATAGTAGCTATCTAAGTAATAGTGTTATATATAAAAGATAAGCTATAAATACTTTATCTCTTATATTCTATTTCTTATTATCTATATCTAGAATTTTAGTAATTACTTTATACTACTAGTATATAGTCTACTCTAAGTATAAAGATAGTAAAAACTTTATTTTTAGTTTTACTATATATATAATTTTCTAAATATAAATAGTAATAGTAATTAATAACTTTTTATTAGTTAGCTTACTAGTTAAGTAATCTTTAATATAGTTTATAAAAATAGAATTATACTTACTATTTTAGAATAGCTTATATATCTTACTAGTAAGCTTCTTAAATATAAAAATAAGAGACTAAATAAAAGATAGTTTTACGTTAATTAAATAATCTTTTTAAATAATAAAACTTTTAATAATACTCTTTATAGCCTTAAGCTACTATAAATATATTAAGTTAAAAGCTTAAATTATATTTCTTATTATATATATAGTATCTTATCTTAAAATTACTAAAATAGCTTTTAAAATAGCCTTATTAAAAGTCTTACTTTTAGTAGATATAGTATAGCTTCTAAAAGCTTTATAATAGTAGTATAGTTATATAGCTAGTAATTATTATTATTAGATAGAAATCTAAATCTTAAGTAATAATACTTATAGCTTAAAGAGCTACTAATTCTAAAGAAATAAAAACTATTACTAATACTTTAAAAAATATATAACTAAATATTTAATCTACTTTTAGAGGTATAGTATTAAGTAAGCTAAAGCTTAGAGTTTTAGCGCTACTATCTCTAAAGTAGTTAAAGCTTCTAAATCTTCTAAGTTTATAAGATAGCTATTTTAATACTAAATACTTTATAAGAAAACTTTATTAAAGAATTATAATCTAATTATATATACTTATTAGCTTATAACTAATAAAGTAATATATTTTAAAGCTTTATAGTTAGAATATATATACTAATAGTTTAGTAAAAGTGTAGTTTTTTTATTCTTAATATTTCTATAACTTTTAGAACTCTAAATATATATTAAAAAGCTAATAGTAATTTAAATCTAACGCTTAAAGCTACACTAGTATACTAAATTACTATCTTATAAGTCTAATAGATAATTATAAGTTAATATTAAATTAATCTTATTACTAGTTAGATAGTAATTATTATAGTAAAAGTAAAATAACTTAGTAGAGCTTTTTAGTAAGATAGAAAGGTAATATAACTAGTAAGAGATTAGTTTTATATTAATATATAATTATCTAAAAGACTTATAAATTATTTAGATTATAGATTAATATATTTTTAAAGTTCTAAAAGTTATTATTAAATAGTATAACTAGAGAAATAAAAGAAGAGTACTTTTAGTAAGATTTTAGTATATATATTCTAACTATAAAGCTTTTAAATATATTACTTTATTAGTTATAAGCTAATAAGTATATATAATTAGATTAAAATTTACTTTAAAAGTATTTAGTATTAGAATAGTTACTTTATATAGCTAGTCTAAAAATTTTAGAACTTTTAACTACTTTAGAAATAGTAGTACTAAAGCTCTAAGCTTTAGCTTAATACTATACTTTTAAAAGTAAATAAAACTATTAGTTATATATCTTTTAGAGTATTAGTTATAATAGTTTTTACTTTTTTAGAATTAGTAGCTTTTTAAGCTATAAGTATTATAACTTAAGATTTAGGTTTCTACTTAATAATATATATTATTAGTAAAGAAAAAAATTATCTTTTAACTTAAGGTTATTAATTTAGTATAGCTTATTTTTATTTTATAATTATTTTATAAGTTTGTTAAATCTTAACTCTTCTATACTAGGTTTTAGACTAGATATCTCTACTTTACAATTAAATTACAGTAGTACAAGGTGTAGAAGGAGTACAAGAGATGCTATTCAAACACCGCTATGTACGCTCTGCATATGTTTGTACGTCTCGCCTCCGCTGCTTAGCGTCTTCATGCAGAACCAGCAGATGTGTACCTGGCACGAGGTGCATGTCATGTGATTGCAACCATCCGCTTTCTCGATCGGCACCCCGCACTTTGGGCAGTCTCGTACATCATGGTCTTTCTTCCACTTCGTGAGCTTTTCGTCTTCCACTAAGGCAGCTTTCATGAGAGCTTTGTTGGCCTCACATGTGTGCCCGTCATGGGGTCCTTGGTGGCAGCTCGTGCAAATGGAGGTGAGGCAGCCGTCGCAGTCGAAGTTCCGGGGTGTTTCAGCGCTTGAGATCCTGTAGAAACGATCGCAGTCGGGTGTAGAGCAGTAGTGGAATTCAGTTGGTCGACTACGAAGAAATGATGTCAGGGATGTCTGGAGAAGATCATCGTACTCCGTTCCAGAAAGGACTTTCTTGACGTCGGAGAGATGCAATGGAGAGTCACAAACAGCGTCCTCCCCGAGACAGTTGACCGGGAAAGAGTCGGCAAGTGTGCATTGCGAGACGAGGCAGGAGTTGCAATAGACGTGGCCGCAGGATGTCTTAACAGGGTCTTCTGGTGGGGTGAAGCAGACCGGGCAGAGTAGCTCGCAGTCGTACTTGCCATTGGAAAGCCCGGCGGTTTGTGTTTCCAATGAAGACGATGTACACGATGCGAGAATCTCCTGTACCTGGACCGCATCTTCCGTGGAGCCTTCGACGATGATTCGCTTTGGGGTGTTGATGATGTCTAGCTTTACTTTGTCCTTCCCTAAAGCGGCGACAATTTTTCGAAACCCACCTTTGAGGGCAAATGCCAAAGCCTCGGGATGAAGAATGACGGTGTGAGACTGCTCCCTCAATTCTGCACACTTAGCCACCAGAGCGCTTTCGACTCGTCCGATACCCTTGTGATCTCCGTATAGTCGAAGGACTGATCGACGTAGATCCTGGTGGATGAAGACTCCATGTGAGGCTCCCAGATCGTTCAAAAAGCTCTTTGACGAAGGCCTGAAGTAGAATGGGTCTGTGATCGGGCCATGTCCGTCGGTGGCGATCTGACCGGCAAGCAGCTTCTCCACGGCCGACTTGGCTTTGGCAACTGGTTCTCTGGACTGGCCGAAGATGCGGACTTGTGTGTATTGTTTGCCCAGAGTCTTGTAGCTCTTGATCTGAACGTAATCTGTTCGCCATGTTTGGTCGACTAGAGGGTCAAGCTGTGGTCGAATGGCTGCTAGGACTCGAGAGGAGACCGACAGTTTGATGGAAACCAGAGGAGTGACCTGCATCTTATCATTCGAGCTGGGATCGAGACTAGTTTCGTGCATCTTCTTGACCGCATTTCGTGCTGCCTCTGCTTCGCTAAACTTGGCAATGATCTTCGTTCTACTTCCTCCCTTTTGGGGATGAGGAATACACTCTTCGATGAAGGTACCGTGCGATCGAAGTTGCATGATAGCTATTTCCTCTAGTTGCTTCGCAGTGAGATTGTGAGAATGAGGTCCCCAAGTTACCTTAGTGGGCGGTGGATAAGGAAGAAAGCGTCGAAGTGCCGCTTCATCTGTGTTCAGGTCTAGATTTCCTATTTGCAAGGACCGAACTGATTGATAGGTGACATTGAGCTTCCGGCCCTGAAACTCATTTGAATTCGGGCGCTCGATGCGTCCGAGCGCCCGCTTCGCTTTCCAGTCCGCGTCGTATTCGAGATAAGCCACCTTGGAAGGATTGAACCATGAGCATGTTACGCTGGTGAGCTGAAGCCGATTCATTCCGGATACTGTCTCTCCTGCAATTTGCATTTTCGACACGCGAACTTCCAAATCCCTAAGACGAACTGGAGTGTCCTGAAGACACTGGAGAAGCTTGTGGGCGAAGTCTGGATCGCGGACTTTGACCACAGCTGTCTTATGAAGCTTCTCAGGGATGTGTCTGAAGCGAACACAATCGTGGGTCACCTTGGGAAAGCCCCTGCTGGTCAAGAGGTCGACTAGATCCTGTACAGATGTATGTGGAGATAGATCGGATGTCAACACGGCGGAGAAGTCCGACATCAAAGATATCTTAGAAACAGATGCACCGTTGGCGAACTCCACGGTAGCCCCTCCGATTGCCATTGGTATTTCGGTTTCATTATGCTCCTTGGAGGAAGGATCGGCGCCCGCCGAAGTGGGTGCAGTGAGGCCGACGTCCTTGATGAGCGTGTGATCCGACAGTGTCTTCGGCATGACTAGATTCTCTCGAATTTCATGACTGAACGGGCATTGCTCTCCCATATTACAGATGCCCCTCTGAAAGTACCTACACGGTATACTCGGCCTAGTGTCCCTTGATGCAGAACGGAAGTCTGTAGATGGAACTGTGGTCGGATTCGAATGCTCGAAAGTACACAAGTGTCCTTTAGTACATGTGCCTTGGAGATAGAATTTGCAAGGTATCTTCGATCTTGGAACGGAGCCGCCCGACTGCGAGCGGGTAACAAGTTCCGCTTTGCGTTCGGAGGAGGGAGGGGTGGGGACCGTATCGGGATGTTGGAAGCGACAGGTCGACCCGTTCACGCAACGTCCAGCGACGAAGAAGTGGCATATCTTGTTTGCCATCGTTGAAAAGAGTTGGTAAGGCGGGGCTCGAGTCCGGGCTCCAGCGTCGTTTTGCTCAAAATTCGAATAGGCTGCTGTGTAACGTCAAGTAGGCCAATCGCCTATTGCGGCGCCGGGCCAACTTCGTCATGTGACGTAGCATCACGTGTTCTAGGCAGCAGCGATATGCGCCTGGTACAATCACTGTATGCAGCAGAGCGAGTGTGACGTATCGCTCGCTCGGTTATCGCCCGCATCAGTGTCACCCGCCAAGTAACCTTCTACCCACTTATGCTGTTCCATCTCGCTTTCAAGCAATACTGCTTAGGTGATACATTCATCGGCGAGCTATCAAACAAAGATCTGCTTCGCGACCACAAGCCTGCCCTCCACACCGACCTGGAGATTGGAGTCAATTCTCTGGTAGCGAATTTTTGGGGAAGAGGATTCCAGTGAGCCAGCTCGACGATGGCGCGGTCACACCTGTACTTGCACAAAAGAGATTCTTTGCCGTTTTCTTGAACAAGGCGCAGATGTTGTAAAGCTCAACCTCGTTGACTCGACGTTGTTCAGTCGAGTGGTCGCAGCGCATCAGGTCGAGAACGCACGGTTTCTACTTGACACCCAGCGTTGGCGGGTTCCGTTCGTAGCAGAAAGGGACACAAGCTTACACATGGCCGTGTCCGGCCCCGGGCATCGAGACATGATCAAATTGATCGTCTCGCACGTGAGTCGCATGGATAACATAGACTCTTTGCTTGAAGCCCGAGACGAATCAGGCTACCGCCCTTTCACAAAGCCGTGCTAGTTTGGAGAAGTCAAAACACCCTGAAGATCCTTGCAGAGATGGGAGTCAAAATTGAAGCAGTGCATGGGGAAGATGAGACCCCACTGCAGACCGCTGTTCGCAACCAGAACGCTGGCTTAGTCTTACATCTTCTTCGAAGTGGCGCCAAACCTCAAGTCAAGTCGAAGGATGGACTGGATATCTTAGAGCTTGCTGAGGTCTCCCTCTTGAAGAAGTTCGTCGAACACGGGAAAGCGGGAAAGAACAAAGCTGTGTATTTGTTAGCCTGCGACGGAGACGACAACTATTCCCAACGGGCTAGCAGGACCATGGAGGAGGTCGACATGGCCAAGATCGACGTGATCAAGACACTGCTTCAGTCTTGTTTATCAGGACTACTCTTCAGTCATGCGCAAAATGAGCAGCGCGTCTAGAGATCGTTGGATGGCGTAACTTTAGTGAAAAAGCTTCTCTGTCATCTTGCTTGGGTATGCGATCAATGACGCAGACTGTTACACCTACTCTCAATTTTAGTCCCCTTCCTACAGTCACTTTCAAACAACGCAGGTATAGTCTGATCAAGAGGGTGCAAATGAAAAGCGTCAAATTCTAGGGTATCGTGTCTCATCTAAACTAAGTGTTATACAAGTGCGCAGTCTAATGCCTCCATCCAATCATTACGTTCATTTCCTGTTCTCAGCTACGCTCGCGTCATCACCGACCACGACGATGGCTGGCGCAACACCAGCCTCAGCATCGCTCTCCTCACTCTTCTTCTTCCTGAAGGTGAAAAAGCTCTTGAGCTTGCTCATACCCGTGCAGCACCATCGGTACACGACGACGACAGGCTTGCCGACAACACGCGCGATGGCAGCGAACCACTCGTCGGGGAAGTACCTGATCAGCACTGCCCAAGGAATGCAGACGAAACCCACAACGATGCTGATAGCCCATTGTGTACCATCGATACCTCCTGGCTTGATCTGGAATGCACGACCACCGACAAAGACGATGAGAACCTGGAGGCCGATGATCATGACAACGATGCCAATGAAGAACCAATTCCTGAATACACCCTCAAGAACGTTGAGCTTGTTGTCCAGACGCCTGTTGTTGAAGATGTTGAAGATTTGCATCCAGACGAAAGCGTTGAAGATGACGGTGTCGAGCTCGAGTTGCTTATTGGGGTCGGACAGGTCGTAGCCAAGGATGTCGCCGCCAGCGAAGTATAGCACGAAGATGACAGTGATCTTGTAGATGTTCTGGCCCATGATTTGCTTCCACATCGTTGTTGTGATGAGAGGGCCTTTGCCCTGCGGTGGGCGGTCGAGGATCTTCTCGGTCGGTGGGTCGGTAGCGAGGGCGAGGGCGGCAAAGGTGTCCATGATGAGGTTGACCCAAAGAAGCTGTACGGCTCTGAGGGCTGGCTTCATCTCGTCATCGTAGACCGCGGTCACGAATGCGAGAACCACGGCGGTGATGTTGACAGTAATTTGGAACTACGCATGTTAGCTGGCTGGAATGAACTAGAAGATGGTGTATGGCTTACCTGGAGGAACTTCTGGACGGCGTCGTTAACAGCCCTACCCCACATCAACGCGGTGATGATGGAGGCAAAGTTGTCGTCCATGAGAATGATCGAAGAGGCTTCCTTGGCAACCTCAGTGCCAGAGACCATGGAGAAGCCAACGTTGGCTGCTTTCAGTGCTGGAGCATCGTTGGTGCCGTCACCGGTCACAGCGACAATCTCGCCAAGGGTCTTGAGACGCTGAACGAGGATGCGCTTGTCTTCAGGCGATGAGCGGGCCAGCACCTGTAGTCGCGGCAGTACCTCATCGAGCTGCTCTTCACTAAGGCGGCGGAAGTCTGGTCCCTCCATCACCAATCCACCCTCAGTGTAGATCAGGCACTCGGTCGCGATCGCACGCGCAGTTTGCATGTTGTCACCAGTGACCATCCTGACCGTGACACCAGCCTTCTGTGCCTTGCGAACAGCCTCAGGCACACCAGGGCGAACGGGGTCCTGGATACCAACTAGCCCGAAGAACGTAAGATCGCGCAGCAGGGAGGCGAAGTTGACACTGCCACCCTCAGTGAGCGTAGCGTTGACCGGTGGCCATTGCTCGAAGTCGCGGTACACTAGTCCAATAGTCCTGAGAGATCGGTTCGCGTATGCGTTAATCGCCTCGGTCAGTACCTGGCGGTGCTCTTGCGACAGAGTCTCTGACTCCAGTGATTCGAAGTGCGCAAATTCAGAGGCAAAGCTGAGGAGAATCTCAGATGCACCCTTGACGACGAGGCGGTAGTGTCCGTTCGGGAGCTTTACAACGGCACCCATGCACTTCTTGGCCGAGTCGAAGGGGAACATGTGTACCACCTGCTCGCCGTCACGGGTCTCTGACAGCGAGACGAGTCCGAGATGTTCCTTGGCGAGCTCAAGTAGCGCAGTCTCGGTCTTGGATCCGACGAAGACGGACTTGCCGTCCTCTTGGCCTTCGAAAGCTGTAGAGTTGATTGCGATGGACTGGATGAGAAGTTGCTTTGCAGCAGCCGAGACCTTAGATGCCCATGCCGAGATGGTTTGGTCCTTCTCCGAGGCGGTGTCCGCGTGAACAAAGCTGGTGGTGCCGAAAGTGCCGGCAACGACCGTCATTCGGTTGGTTGTCTGTGAGGTATTAGCATATGTTCATGTCCAATCGAGAAATAGTACTTACCAAAGTACCAGTCTTGTCTGAGCAAATGGCTGTAGCATTGCCCATAGTCTCACACGCGCGCAAGATCCTGACAAGGTTGTTCTCCTTCAGCATCTTGGTTGTCGCGAAAGCCAATGCCAACGTGACCGCTAGTGGAAGACCTTCTGGGACTGCTACCACGATAATGGTTACAGCAACGATAAGGATATCCATAAACGCTGAACCCTTCTGAGATGCAGATCGGGTATCACCAGATAGCCCACCAACAAAACGGAAGAGAAGGACAAAGAAGAGGAGACCAGCAGCCGCAGTTCCGAGGTAAGCGATAGCCATAGCAAGCTTAGCGAGCTTCGCCTGTAGTGGTGTCTCCTCGATCTCGACGCGGACAGACATCATGATACGGCCAAAACTGCTGTTCTCTCCGACAGATGTCGCCATGAAAGTACCGACGCCCTCGAGAACCTTTGCACCGGAGATGACGAAGGGGTCAAGGCCCTTGGTGGACTGACCAGACTCAAGTGCCTTCATGACAGCGGCACCTGGTGTCTTGCGCATGGCATCTGATTCTCCCGTAGCAGAAGACTCGTCGCACTTGACGTCGGAGCCATCCACAAAGATTCCGTCGACTGGAATGACATCGCCAGGCTCCAGGTGTATGATGTCGCCGGCTAGGACGTCGTAGATACTGATCATAGCGGTCTTTCCCGATCGTGTGACTTTGATGTCGCGTTGTTCCTTCTTCGCATTGAGCTTTGCGAATGCCGCTTCTTTCTGCCAGTCATTCACGGCGGTGACGAGTACCACGATGACGATAGCTACAACGATTGCGCAACCCTCGACCCAGTCGACAGGTGTGGGAGATCCCGGTGGATGTTCCGCACCAAACGTTTCGTAGAGTCCAAGTGCTAGCGAGATGGCCGCTGCAACAGTAAGAACAATAAGTACAGTGTCATTGTAGGCGTTCCAGACAAGTCTCCATAGAGGGGTGACCTTCTTTGGTGGTAGTACATTCCGTCCGTGTATGCGTATGCGATCCTCGAAGGGCTTTCCGTCACTTGGCGGTCGACTTGATTCTTTCTCCTTTGTAGGAGTCTGTGGATTTGTTGCTTCGTCGAAAGAAATGTGCCTCGCAACCGTCGATTCGTCGGCACTCAGACCAGAGTGGGTGTCGGATTGAAGTCCGGCTGCGATACCGTGAATGCCTCCCAATGCTTGATATACAGGAAGCGATTTGGGGTTCAACAGTTTGCTGAGCTGTGATGGTGTGAAGGCGAAGGGGTTGTTCGTGTCGGCTTTAGCTTCAGCGCGCAACTCATTTTGCAACGCTGCATCATAGTCTCCTACTACCGTCGATGCACCACTTGTGGACGCATTGCTTGGTGATATTGGTGTCCGGAAGGGGTCTGATGTTTGTGATGTGACCGTGTCGGCCTGACTCAGAGCACGCTGTCGCGTGTTGATTTGGAGTGTCGGAGGGGCAAGTTTGCCGGACTCCATATTGGAAGTATGATGGTGATAATGCAAATGGACCGCTAGAAAGATGCACTTGATGATAGTACTTCAAGGAAATAGAAACTATGTGATAACAGTATAAGAGCTGGATTGTAACAAGGCGGAGGACGGAAGCCTCTCAAGCTGCCATATACTCTTTCAAGGTTGAAGCGGGCTGTGTAAGTGTGGGCCACCCCCAAGACTGCCAGGCGCTTGGTGCGCGATATTGGTCTACCTGATGTGATACGTACTCCGCCAGCGCCTCGCTTGGCACCTAGTAGTCTCCTGAGGAACAATCATTCCGCGGCGTTTTTTCGCCTTCGCGGCCCAGGTGACATCTACACATTGAACACTTGGTAGAATGACCGAGAACTCAGCCTTCCTCCCACGTCGCATCGATGGTTGAGCTGTAGACTTGTCGCCAAGGAGGCGAGATTTGGTGCTTTTGGCCACTAACGGCGTTCATAGCGAGATGAGCGGCTGTCAAGAAGTCCGGTGGTCTTGGAAGGGGGCAGTGCAAACCCCATCCGAGCGCAATGAAGCGCGGAGGCCCTCAGCGTCCGCTTCCATCGCATCGCTATGGACGATTGCACAAAGACTGTTGAAACAGAAACAAGGTGAAAAGAAGGAACAAGCGATAGTCTGAAGTCACGATTGAGTGTCGCTTCGATGTCCAACGTGCAGATCAGAGCGAGGCTAGCAGGGCTTAACCTGCGCCACGGTAGCGCCACTGAGGCTTTGCTCGTCGCTTAGCCATCTTTGGTTTAGCTTACTCGACTCTCAGCTGCTCCAGCCTGCCTATATAACATCTCTGCCTGGGGCTGTCATCAAGAGTTCAGGTATTCAGCCTTCTGCTCGTGTTGCTTGGAGGAAACAAGGACGTAGATGCATCGAACCGTCAATAGCCTTCCCAAAACTTCGCCACCCATGGGCATCTTGAACAAGACCCCCGAAAGCATGATCGATTAGGCCGATAGAACTCTGCATCGCACATCGCCGTCTGAATCTCTTGAACATGCTTTGGAAGGTCCCATCCGTGGGCATATGCCCGATACAAGTTCCATGTCTCCGTCGAGACATGCTTTGCCGCCTCAGGCTAACTTGACATGGCGTCCAATCACAACTGACCAACTGCGCTCATCAGATTCTGCCTTGTCTTGGAAAGCGCCTGTTCGGTCTTATGTCGTGCGCATCTCGTCACACCCTCCGCTCAGTAATCTCAGCGGGGCAAGAATGACAGCGACGATGAGAAGCGTGTTCTAGGCGTGCGCATCAGGGTGACCGTCATCGAAGCTGGAAGAGCATTATGGCTGAACCTGTGGCGCAGTCGCTGTGGCGCATTATCTTCGAACACGGGGCTGCCGAGGTTCGACTCATTGGGACCCGGCGACTGCTTTTCGCGAGGAAATTGTTAATCTAGATGGCCGGAGGCGAAGTAGAAAGGAGACGCAAGGATACACCCGAGGAGGTTGGGACATGTCATCAAAGGAGAGAGAGATGATGTCATACGTGGGTGCACAGACTATTTGCCGCTTGCGACCTGGCAGCTGGACGGTCGTCCTCGCGCATGCCTGATTTCAAGTTTGATTGCGGAAGCCTGGACGGCTATGCTTCGCACTGCGCCCATCTCGCCTTGTCAAGGCTGCAACATCAATAAAAGACCTTCGGATTATACGACAAAGAATTTCGGTTTCCGACCGCCCGGATCTCAAAGCACTCCAGGGCTGTCTCGGCAAATATCCGTTTCACGCCTCCAGTAATCCCTTATGAAGAATGAACTCAGGATCCACCGCAGGGGCCTTGATATACGGCATGTCTCTCGTCTGCTCCAGGTGCACGCTTCCATATCGTAGTAGCCCTGCCAACGTTCCAGGTGCAGCATCTACACCCTCATTTTCCGGAAGGTCCAGCAAAGTGCCAATATGAATCGTTTCGCCCAGCCCTTTGCCATGTGTGATCTTCTGCATCACACTCTGCGTCAACATCCCCCACGTGGCCTTCTTCGCCTTCTCGTATACCGCGTCGGACTCGTCAGCACCCACGCTCATGGCCAAAAGCTTCAAAAAGTCTGCGCTGATATCGAAGCCAAGAGTGTTCTCAGCAGGAAAGTCTTCAGATAGCGCATGCCACAGCAAGACCTTCTCAGCCCAGTAGGTGACGCCATCGAAACCACCGTTGGGTTCTTGCAGCCACGTCAAGCGTATCCAGGCGAGGCACTGCCCAATGTAACCGATAAGAGTCTTCTCATCGACTTTCCACTCCCATTTAAATCCGGAGTCTTGAAGATCCTTGGAATTCATCTGCTTGATGAAGCTGATGAGAGGCGACTGCACCACGCCAGTAAAGTCGGTACGTCCCTTCCAGAGCTCCAGGAAGATCAGGTGCCTGTTTCACAGTCAGTCTGATGAATCATGGCTGAGTGGGTATAACGCGCCAGTTCTTGATGAACTCGTCGCCTTTTCGAGAGGCGACGACATGATTCGCCATGAACTGCCCATACACCAGTGGCGCAGCGACTGTAAATGGGCTGTCGTCGTCCCCAAGCTGGTCCCAGCAGACTTTGTCGAGGTTGCGGAACACGATGCATCCGACGTCCATCCAAACGCCACCATACGTGTACAGTGCTGCGCCACGCAGGAAGTCGGCGCTATGAGGACCTACGTACGGCCCCGTCATCGTACCCTTCACGAAGGTCTCCGGAAGAAGGTCATTCGATATCCATGTCAACGCGTGATTTGGCGAGTCTGGTACCGTGTCGAGCACGCGAATCGTCCACTCAGGGCCGTGAAGTCGCACCCAGTTGATGATGTTGCGCTGTGTCCATGTTGGCATCTGCTGTACGCCGGCATGCCAGAACGTCCAAATGTTCTTCTCGGACGCGATGGGTACATGTTTCGTCAAGGCGTCCAGAATCTCGGCATCGGTACGGCTGTCTTTCGACTCCACATATTTCAGCTGTGTCTGGTATTCTTCTGGGATCTTGTACGTGGATTCCGCCATGATGCACATGGAAAGAGGGTCGATGATGCACGTGATGATGCAGCTACCTACGTATCCAATGCAGCTAAAGGACACTGTATACTTTGTTACGCGACTAGTGGGAGCTAAGGCACGCTTTTATACGGCTCTGAGGGTAGCGACCGGTCAAATGAGCTGCACAGCTCATCCATGCGTTGTGGTTCATTCACGGATTTAACCGCAAACACAGCATGATAGGAAGCAGGGTAAAGTGCAAACATGCATTTATCTCGCGCGCAACGTCGCTCCAAAGCATGACGAATCTGCCAATAGTTTCACAGAAGGGATTTTGGTCCGAGATAAGCGCCAAGAGTAATGTCGTGTAACGGGTTCGACGTTGGTTGTTCGCCATGATCGTCAGCTCGTCATACTGCTTCAGTGTATGACTGCGTTTCAGTAATCTTCGTCCTGCGCCCTTCCTGGGCAGACAAGGGGTCATTGTCAGGGTACGTATGTACTATGGCTGTTGATCAGTCGTGATTGCTGGACATCAGCGGCTTCCTGACCTACGTGCGACAAGGTACGAGTAAAGTCACACCACTTATGCGACGGCTACTGCCAATCGTAGGAGTCTTCTCAATGTACCTACCATGATAATATACACACAACAGCTTTATCGTACATCTCAATCTTCCACCTTCGCCAACTCTACTCCTTCAACCTCAAGTGATACGTCTCCAACTGCTCCTCCGTCATGCGGTTCGGACTCTTGACCAACTGATCCTCTCCCCTCCCACTCTTCGGGAAGGCAATAACATCCCTCACACTAGCCCTGTTGCACATGACAGCCATCAATCGATCCCATCCCAGTGCGATACCCGCATGAGGCGGGCAGCCACTCCTCAACACATCAAGCAAATGTCTGAAGTCCTCTACACGTTCAGGCTTCATTTTGAGAATGTCTTTGAAGATAAACTCCTGCATCGCGGCGGAGTGAATACGGCGACTTCCACCGCCAAGCTCGACGCCGTTGACGACAATGTCGTAGTGCGCTGCTACCGCAGATGAAGGCGAAGTGAGTAGCAAGTCGACGTCTTCGGGTGTCTTCGGAGCGGTGAACGGGTGGTGCGTTGATGAGAAGCCAGCTGAGCCACCTTGGCCTGGTTCGCTGTCGCTCGACGGGGTAAACAATGGGAAGTCTGTGATCCAGACGAACTTGGTAGCTTTAGGTGCTTCAATCAGTCCCTTTGCTATGGCTGCTTTGTGGAGAGCAAGACGCAAGTTTCCCAGCATGGTTGAGCCGCCCGAGAAGGGCGCATTGGGTCGTGCCTGGAGGACAAGAAGGTCGCCGTTTTCCACCGCTAGCGCTTCCGGGCCCTCCATCACGTATTGGTAGCCCAGTGGTCCGAGGCCTTGCATGGGCTGTGAAACATCACCGATGAAGATACCCGGTTGACCATCGGGGTTGTCGAGGAAGACCTTTCCGTCCGGGATGTCCAGAAAGTCGGCGACGAACTTGCGGGTCGTTTTAGGGTCATCAGATATTCGTATCTTCACGGCATCAACGACCGGGTCTTGGAGAGAACTGATCTTGCCGATCAAATCGGCTGTCAGGTGTTCCGTAATGGTGTGAATCTGTACTGATTAGCTTGAGGAGACAGCTAGGTAGCGTCAGCTACGCACCTTTGCCTTGAATCTTAGGTCTGGTTTATCAGATCCATATGCAGCCATTGCTTCCTGATAGGTCATTCGCGCAAACTTCTTCTCTTTCTTTATTCCAAGGAGTTTATACCACAGATCTCTCAGTAGAGCTTCTGTCTCGTGCATGACGTCTTCCTCATTAGCGAAAGACATCTCCATATCGAGCTGTTCCAGTCAGCGGAGTCTGCATCAGGTATATGATAGTGCTGACCTGGGTGAATTCTGGCTGCCTGTCGGCCCTCAGATCCTCATCTCGGAAACACCTAGCAAATTGGTAGTATTTCGTGATGCCCGACGCCATGAGTATCTGCTTGTATTGCTGTGGGCTTTGAGGCAGCGCGTATGCCAATCCTTTTTGCCTCGTCGGCACGAGAAACTCTCTTGCGCCTTCAGGAGTCGATTTGAACAGTATAGGCGTTTCGATCTCCTTCCAATTGTAATGGTTCAAGTGCAGTCTTGCTCTAGCCATGGCTTTCGACCGTTGGAAGAGATCGTCGCGCAATTTCGAGTCTGTGCGAAGCTGTAGATGCCTTTGGTCTGGGCCAAATACAGTGTCATCTTTTATGATGATATCATCCGATATGTTGTTCAATGGCTGAACGTGCTCCACAGCGATCTCCCGGGTACCGAGCAGGTTCATACCCGCGAATGTGTCGGTCTTGGCCCCTTTGCGCTCAACTAGCTTTCCTCGGACTATGACGGGAGTCCACTCTTTCAACAACCGCAGTGTCTTATGGGCGTCCGGTCCATCCGCTTCATTGTCTAGAGGTTTAGAGACGAGTTGGACACATACTCCTTGGTTCTTGTGGCGGAGCATCGTGAAAGAGAGTTTGCTGCTAACATCTCGCCGTGCGCTGATATAACCGGAGACCTCAACTTCCGCGCCTGGAGGACTATGAGTGGCTTTATTCCATTCATCATTTAGATCCTTCCATGAGGATGGTCGAACTACGACTTGGTGAGCAAATGCATTTGATATGTTGATGAAGTCATACTAGTAGCCTTGAAATCATCAAGAGTTTTGCGCAGATTTTCATCCTGATTGCGTGTCTGCGAAGTCGCGAAGCCTCGCGATGGATGCCCCCGACATAGGCCTGCACAACTCAGCGTGGTCCCGTAACGGGTTGTTCGACAAAACCGCGAAATCTCTGCGTAGGAGCTGCACAAGCCCTTGTCCTGTTTCAGCACACCTCGTGAGACACGCGCAAGACTCATAGTATATTCCAGCGAACGATCGAGGTCTTGCAGGTATCAGCGCGATTATGACATCTCCGACGAGCGCGCAGCCAAATCTCGAAAACACGCCAAGCCGCACCCGCCACTAGCCCCACCACGGTTAGCGTCCGCCCAGACCATGCTGCAGAAGCTTCAAAAGGTTTCCGGCGCCCACACCCAGTTCCTCTCGCTATCCCTCCAGTTTATAACACGTAAGTCACCCTGCTGTCGCGAATTTCCCTTGCGCCAATACTAACAAACCCGCCAGATGATGAAAGCCTAGCGTGTATCAGCTGAGCAGCTCTCCTCATCCGCCTTTGAACTCTTCCTTTCGGGGGCTTAAGTGGTTCATTGGTAGATTTGGATGTGGTTGCATGACTTCCGCGTCCGGCACACACACCTTGTTACATAACGGACGCTTTGACGGCATCTCTGATTCAATAAACTGGTCGGTGTCCTACACATACCGCGCACCCCGCACGCGACGCAACGACGACGGCCTTCGCGACGCAATCACGACAGCCTTTGCGGCGCAACGAACACGGCCTCAGCGATCGAGGCGCGCAACGGCGCAACCTCATACCCGGTGGAAAGGGCTGTGTATACTAAAATGGATAGCAATACAATCAAGTTTTCCATGTTGCGCATGACATGTGAGTACCGGATACGTGATGTGGGTGAGAGGATGAGCTCTTGAGGACCTGCGTTCAGCGCGAGGTACTCAACGACACCATCGCCGCAATTACTGCGAGTGGAGAAGTAGACCATCTTCTATCAACTCTCCTCAGTCGGCGAAAGAGTAACGCTTTGTCAATTACCCCTCCACCAATACTCCATGGGAAGAGGGGCGTAAAACACTTGCGACATACCCGTGCAATTGTGATTCCGGTGGAAGCCATCAGGAGAGGGGCCTTGCGCCGCTATGTACCCTTGGAAAGCGCGACGGTAGCTTCTTGATGTACACAGGTCGACCGGCCGTGGGTACCTGGTGAACCTGGTGATACCATCCGCCTCTACATAGCAGAGGCCATGTCTCCCGTCAAACAGACATCAAGAGCGCTCGCGGTCTACGTTGTGGCTTAGCGAAGCTTGATTGAGCTCATGTTTCGGCTCCGAAAGGATTCGTTCGTTGGCTGGCGCAGTCCGAGGCAGTTTATCGAGAGCCGTTGAATCCAGCTTTCGGATCCGAGCCAAAGCAAGTCTAAGGATGGGCCACTCGAGGCAATCTATCAAGAGCCGTCGATTGTTGGCTTCGGATCCGAGACCAATGTCCAAAATGTGACTGGCTCGATGTTCTCGGTTTGGGAACGGTAACCGAAAGGATGTGTTCGTTGGTCGGCGCAGTGCGAATGGGGTAATAGTCGAAAGCCATCGATTGTAGATTTCGGATCCGAGTCACCCTCGCAGTTGTAATCCCTTAGCCATGACTTCGGATCCGAGAGAACGCAAGCCTATCGATGTTAGCGCAGTCCAAAGGAGGCAATTTGTCTACAGCCATCGAATGCTGATTTCGGATCCGAGTCACCCTTGCGGTTTGCGGTAGTAATCCCTTTGCCATGACTTCGGATCTAAGACAATGCAGGCATATGTACGTTTACGCAGTCCCAATCAGGCAGTTTGTCTATAGCCATCGATTGTTGGCTTCGGATCCGAGCCAAAGCAATCTTAAAGATAGGCGTCCACTCAGTCTACATAAGGCGATTCGTCGAAAGCCGTCGATTACTAGTCTCGGATCCGAAAACGGTGGTTACGGTACCATGAAGCCAAGGCTTACATTCTGCGTGTGATTCGGATCCGAGCCAAAGCAAGTTGAGATGAAGACGTCTACGCAGTCAAAATGAGGCAGTTTGTCGAGAGTCGTTGATTCCGGCTTTCGGATCCGAGCCAAAGCAAACACCTTCGGATCCGGGCTAAAACAAGGTTAAAGATAGACGTCTACGCAGTCTAAATAAGGCAGTTTGTCAGGAACTGTCGAATACTGCTTTCGGATCCGAGCGAAAGTGGGCTCAATATGAGCGCCCGGATCCGAGCCAGAGCAAGCTCAAAGATGGGCGTCCACTCGCAATCGGTGTAAGCCACTCACACTAATGAAAACTCACAGCTCGCTGCAATGCGTACTCAGTGAT